GTTAGCGCACTTAAATCCATCTAGGTTCAAGAGCATGTCGTGTATTTTTGGTAGGATAAGGTTTCCGCTTGATCCGTTTGATCGGTTCCCGAAAATCAGAAATGAATCGTACAGATCCAACTTTCTTGCGGAATGATAAATGTTGGTGACGTCCACTTGGAACGATTACCCTTCTTGAGTACTCCTGCCTCGCAGAGCGTTCACCCCTCCTTTTAAGAGTGTTGGTAAGGACACGTGGAGTAGGGTGAGCCCTAGTGTACTAGGATTTAGCGTCGGGACGAAGTTCTACTTCGTTTTCGTCCATTCGCAACTCTCCCAAAGCTTCCTCGACTGGTCGAAGCACTTGGTTGAAAAAGCATGAGGCAGTTCTTGCTCTTCCATATTTAACGGGTTTCGACTCTGGCCAATCTGCCTTAAGTCTATATGTTCGTATGTCGTATCAAGAATCTTCTTTGAGACTATCTGCATTGTTGCTGACAGCCGCAGAATCGGGAATGGTGAAGTTCTCCTTTCTATTCGTATTGCCATCTTTCGCAGGGAAACATGCATGGTTCCACCCCAATTACATGGTAGTGAAATCAAACTTGATTCTTAGGTCGACGAGAGTGTCTTGACCTATGATCACGTCTTGCGCCCCAAGTTCTTGGTGAGTTGTAAATCCATCGATAATTCTATATCGTGGAACTCGGAATCACGAGTGTGCCCTTACACTTCGTGCCGGGTTTCAATTCCTTCATAGAAGCAGTCGTAATGTTTGGACGCCCCCATGATTCTTCTGAGTAAACTCTTAGCATGAGTTGAGTAATTAAAGTTCCGGATTCTCCTGTATCCAGTAAGCAAAAGAGTGTAACCTTTTTTCGTTTCCCTTTCTCTCGTCTGTTAATCTAACATAGACGAAAGTTCGAGGTCTCTTGTTTGCGACGTTGATGAGTTGTTTGCCAGGACGAAGTAACGATGCTGAACAGATCGTTAGTGTCTATTGAGTAGTTGCTAGGCAATTACTAATTTGCCGTAGACTTCGTTAGTGTCAAACAAATCTTGTTTACATATTTAGTAGTAAGGATGAATATCTTCATCACTTAGGATGAGAAATCGGAACATGTCTTCCGTTGAATCATCATCCTGGCCTAATCCTCAGACGGAGATCTCTCCATCCGAATGATGAAGTCGAATTCGGCAAGCGCCTTGTCAACAGCAGCCATCTTCTTGTCCATCATGTTGATGGATCCAACAGAGGAGTCGTCCTCGTTGTCGGAGTTGTCAGACTTGCGCTTGGCAACATGGTTGCATTCGGCTTTTCTTCTTGCGATCAGCCTTGACCGCAGCGTTGGAAACTTTCTTCATGAGGACAGAGAGTTCCTTCTTGGTGTAGGTCTTGGCGTCGTCGGACTTGCGTTTCCAAGTCTTGTTCTTGTTGTACGCTGGCTTGTTATCGTTGTCAGACGAGGACTGAGACTTGGCCTTGAGCTTCTTCAGAGTCATGCAGTCAGCAGTGTTGTGAGTGCTGGACTCGTGGTAGTCACACCATTTTTCTTCGTTCTTGAAAGTGATTCGTTGTTGCGAGTAGATTGTACTTCTTGCTGTTGTTTTTCTTCGAAGGAGCTTGCCTGGTATCACCGCCCTTGTCAAAGTTTTCGGAGGATTCCATGCGTTCGCAGAATCCAATGGTTTCTCCGATTGAGCTGAGAAAGGATCGAGTCGTGTTCGTCCATCTTTTCATCCACGAGCGTGGAATTCCATGCAAACAATGTCAATGACTTTGTCATGGTTCAACGTTTGGTTGGGTCCAAAAGGTGGTAAACGAGGAAGTTCATCGGTGTTCATCCGACTGAGTGTTGACATAAGCCCGAGTAGACATATCAGCAGGCTTTACGCATCTTGCGGCGCATGAAGCGTTTCTGCTTTTCAAAGCCTGTAGGGGAAGACCGCTTCGACACAGGCATTTATGCCAAACGTAATGTCAGTCGTCCAAAGCAGGCTGAGCTGCTCCGTCCCAGGCATTTTGGAAACGTGCTTGGAAAGTGGCTTCGTCTTCACCACCACGTAGTTCGCGTGGAGGAATGCCGTTGACTGCAATCTGGCGCAAGCATTCCAACGTATTCACGGTGGCCTGCACAGCTAGATTCGTAACTGCTCTTGCAGAGCTAGAAGTCATCTCCTTGAGGAGGTTATGTTTGTCGGTAGCGTAGCAATGGCGAGCCCAACGAAGACCTTCTCCATGCGTCCAGGCCACTGATGGTCTGACGTGGAGTCTCAGATCCATTGATGATTTGGACCTTGAAGGGTACTTGGCACTGTTAGCATCTGCTGGAACAGTGCGAAGTTTGTAGGTGGTAGAGCGAGAATCGTCGATTTTCGCATTCATCGTCGAGGTCGATGAGAGGAAGGATTGGTTTCGCGCAGCTTAGACTCGAAGCTGGTTAAGCGTCTTGGCAATCTTCATGGTGAAGAATAGGTTGAGGGTAGCTGAAAGCTATTGTGGTTTGTTAACAAAATGCACTACGCTAAAAGCTTGTAAAGATCTTTCGAGTGTTTTGAGTTTGAGAGAATGAAAGTTATGAGAGGATTAGAAAGCTATGAACTAATCAACGAGAGAGATCCACAACCAAAGGATCGTAGATCTGAACTCCCGCGGGAGACTGTAGAGTGTGATAGAGTAGTTGCGGTAGCAATCCTACTCACTCCACGATCCAAAAACGGAACGCGTGGAAGATTCGTCTAGCATTTATCTAGTAGCGTGGAAGTACTCCACGCTGGCTAATATATCTAGAGCGATGTTTCATCATCACCTAGTATGACTAGAGCGGTCATGAGAACCCTGTCTCAATGACTATTCATGAGAGACTCAGTCATGAGTCGAACTCAAACCCTATCTAGGATCGAGTCGCGAATAAGGCTAAGAGCCGTGTATTGCATGAGAGCTCTCAAACAAATTCCGGGAGTCATTCCTTTCCTCAACTTCACAACTGGCAATTGAAGGCACACTCCCTTCTTCAGTCCCAGACTATCACACCTCTATTTATTCAGGGCAAACACCCCCACAAAACTAACACAGAGGCAGTGGCACAGCAGCTCATGACCTACTTCCAAACAGAGGGCATTAATGTACCTGTAGCGGTGCAAATGACTCAGTTGGGAGCAGACAAAGTCCCTATTTTGGGAATTCAATGTCACCTTGAGGACGAACCCATCTTTGACAAATGGGCGCTTTCAGGCAAACATCACCCCAAGTATGATGTATTCCACAGGAAAATTCAGAAGTCAGGAAGATCCCAGGACTTGCGGAAAGCTTTGGCACAACACATGGCGGCAGTGGACGCCATCACTGGAATTCCTGTGGACAACATCAGCCCAGCCCACTCAAAGGCTGTTTTCGAATCCATGCAACAACTGACAAATGACAAGGGCCATAAAATCTTTACAGATTTGGAGCCTCATAAGACTGCTATAGTCACTGGAAAGCACTATGTGTTATGCCACAAGGATGACCGGGATCTGGCAGTTCAGGAATTGCAAAAACTGTTTGATGTGATGCCAACAGCACAACACTTTCAAGGAAAAAAGCCATCAATACCTGAAAGACAGCCACGGCCACCAAAAGACACCAGGTTTGATGATTACTCTGTCTCTGACACCAGGACTTTCCAAGATAGAAGAGATGAGGGAGACTCCCTGGGGAGCACCTCTTTGAATGGCCAAGAGGATTACAACCAGCATGTATCAAGGTGGCAGAAATTCTATAAACGAATGAAGAATACTAAACCAGCTGCAGAGATCTCGGTGCCAGCTGTACCCCCCACTTCTGGGATGGGAGGCGACTTTAGTGCATCTCAGTCAAAAGAAATTCAAGATTTGAAGTTGGCACAAACAAAGTTAGAAGAAAAGTTAGCAGCACAGCAGGTGGCTCACCAGCAAGAGATGGAGCGACGGCTGCAAAACCAACAGGAATTCCATCATCGAGAGATGTTGAAAATGCAACAGCAACAACAAACTATCATTCAACAAGCGGTGACTCAGACCAAACAAGCACTCCTGCCAGATATGGAATCAATGTTTGAAAGACTCATGCTCAAAATGCCTTCAATTCCCCCGGCACCAAACCCTCAACCTCCAGCATCTCATTCTTATATGCAGGGGATGCTACCACCAATGGGCCAGCAGTATGGACACCCCTACCGACCACAGTATGGCTACCAACATCAGATGACATCCAGACACAACACTGGTGGTCACAATGCCAACAGTACAGGAAGCGTCTACCAACCTTTGCAAGATGTACTGATGCAACGCACAGGCCAACAGCAGGAAGCCACCAGTGCAGCCAATCATCAAGGATCCACCCAGGGAACACCAACTGCACCTGGCCCAAGCCCTGCTCCACTACCAACAGGTGGCTTCGCGGGCTTTTCCCACCACCACCCGCCCCCTAGTGGATCTGCCGGTGGTGGTGCAACTTAAGTATGGGCTGGCGGCCTCCTGAGCCAGTCCTGCTACAGGATACTGACTCAGGAAGAAGCCAGCCAGATGGGGGAAACTACAGTGTTGATGACTTTGATTTTGCCACTGAAACTTGGGAAGCAGCAGCTAGTGGAAAAACACCAACCAGTGGGGGATAGAATGAAAATCAAGAAACCAAAACAGACTACCCGATTCTTTTGGACAACAAGAATGGATTCCAACTTTATGATGCATTGGGCGGCGAATTCTTCGAAGACTGCAAAACAATGGGGATGCTGAAAATGGACTATGCAGGTTTTCAGGAGCATAATTTGGACTCCACCAAAGGATATGTGCAAGACAAAATTCACAGGGCATGTCGTCGGGCGTTTGACCATGCAAGTGTCACCTTTGGATCGTCACCATTGGTGCACCTCAACGACTACAAACCTGGAGGAACCCTCTCCCTAGTGACGGGACGAACAGTGGGCAGGGTACTCACCTCTGAGGCAGATTACTTGGGACGCTGGACTCGCACCGTTATGACTGGAAAGGGGGGCAGAAGACTGTCAGTGTATAATGTTTACACCCCATGTGACAAGGACCCAACCAAAGCGGGGGACGTTACCACTCCTACATTGATATCTAACTCCTCTCCCAGAGGAACAACAAACAACAACAGAGTTCCTGTAAGGACTTGAGTTCAAGAGTACACCGGCTGCATAGAGCCCTCTGCAGCCAGTCATGCTGCACTCTCATCGTTTCGACAGCCCCTCCCTGAGATACCCAGCTCCTCTCCAAAGGATCTCACCCCCACAAGAACAAACTACAAAAGCTGCCCCTCTAGTGTGTATTCTTCTAGATTGTGCAACACTTCATTGACACAGCCACCTCTCTGCTACTGCACCTGACTCTCCTACTGAGCGTGGAGCTCCAAAGGATTGAGCCCCAGACAGACCTGCGGCGTGGTGTGGCATAGATATTAACTCTTTCCCTCTCTCACTGATTGTTGAGTGACTCTCCAGTGACTATCCCCAGTTCAACCTGAATCGAGTACCCTCTCCACATCTTGGCTTGACTTTCTGTTGCATTGTTATCCCTACAACAGATTGAGTACCAGCCTTTGAGACACCACAGTGCCATCCAGTAACACAGCCCCATCAACCAACAACACCCCTTGATACCCCCACCACTGCCTCTACTGGCTATAGCGTGACTTCTCCAGTTCTCGATGAAAGAATCCCTAACAGCCTTTGGCTCTGATACCATCTTCTCCTGCAGGTAGTGGTATACCTGCACCAGACTTGGCCACAGCCTTTGATCCAGTGGCAACAACAACCCAACAACTTGATATAAGCCTTGATTACCAGTGCCTCAGTGCATTGCCCCTTGAATAAACCCCTCTACATCAATCCTCTCGCCACCTCACAAGCAACCTCCATTGCTTGCGTTGAAGCAACGACACTACAGTCAACACTCCTGGATACACAACTCTCCCACCAACCCACCTACCACCCACCATGACTTCCCCATGTCTACCCACAACTTCACTCAAACCCAAGGTCCTCCCAGACATCCCCCCACTCCCACACTTCACCCAACCAACCACATCCACCATCCTCCGCAGACTACACAACAACACTCCCCAGATGATCAGCCAACAGTTCCTAGAGCATGCAGCCATCTTGAGGATCACACCCTTCTGAATCACACCCTACCCTATCAGGAAGGATGCCTTTGTTCTCACCCTTAAACAGAGACACGCCTCTATCCTACAACACACCATCAACCATGCCACCTCCCAACTCCTACAACAACACTCCAACACCAACAGGATCTCCCCTCCTGCCCCTGGCACCAGCCCACTCCCAGTGCCCCCTTATCCTCCTTCTATTGACTCAACAACCCCTCGAACAGCCCACAACACTCCAGCAGCCACTGTGCCTCCCTCCTGGGAACCACAGACTGCCAGTGTGTCATTTGACCCCATCTTTTGCCTGCTTGTTGGCCTCTATCTAACAATTTTTGTGCATTGGATGGGTTACACCCTGCTCTGGTCCAGTCTGAGGAGTACCACCTCCTACGGGCTCTGCTGGCATCTTGCCTTGCATGCCAAGGCACTTGCCACAGCTTGGGACCTGATCACCCAGACACACTTACTGGCGAGCACTCTTTGGTCTGGCAATCTATCTGGTCCTCACGGCCCCTTTGGTGATAATGGTTTCAATACCGACAAAATCCTGTGTAAGCCCCTGTAACCCAGGTTTTGCGCTGCAGGTTCCCTATCAATGTGCTCACCCCCTACCCAGGGCATCTGTCTACTTGGTGCTGGCTCCACGTTGGGCCAGTGGATGAGGTCATGTTGATTGGGCAAACAAAGTAGATGACGACTCAGCTAGGTGGGGATCTCCCCCACCACTTGCCCGCGTCAATAAAGTCACTCCGTGGCCAATAGCTTGTTAAGCTAAATGAGTAATTTAACCCCCTTCCTGTTTGTAAACTTAGTGTGTACAGAGAGTCCTCTCCAATAACACTTCCCAAAACAGCTTTCCCACCTCATAAATCCAAGTCCACCTTACAGACAAACCAGTGGCTTCTTCAAGAGCAGAGCTTATTAGCTCACGGATAGAGGCTTCTCCTCTTACAGAACTTAAGAGTCCGCTCTGGACTCTTTCACACCATCAACCAACCATCATTAAGTCTTTTCCACTAACCAGTGGGACTAAATAGCTACTCAAGAACGACTCGCTCGAAACTTTCCTTCCCCACTATTTTAAATAGAATACCTTCTAAGTCAGCGGGAGCTGCGATACCTCGGCAGAAAGACAAATAGAGGAAAGAGGATCTGTTTGAGATTGCACCCTTCTTTCAAGGTAGCCCTGGCGACAACACCCGACTTCGTCGTGTGTTGCCGCCCGGTATCATTCCCTCATTATAACCTTCTTTTTGATTTAAGCTAGCCCTGGCGACAACACCCGACTTCGTCGTGTGTTGCCACCCGCTGACCATAATTTTGCAGCTGTCACTCCCGTATGTACCTGTTTCTGCTGGCTTATTGTGTTGAGTGCACTAACCTTGAATAATCATGATTTATTCCTACACCTAAATTTGTAGAACCTTCAATTTCCAGTTTTGTTGGCTTACGCCTATCTCTATCCCTATATTTTGGCTTCACCGGAACAGGAAATAGGAAATAGGAAATTCGGCTTTTTTCAGCGTTCGTCTCCTGTTTCCTCAGTTTGCTCCCTACTTGGATCCATATGCAATCCAGCCATTGCAGCCAGTTACGGCACCGTACCGGTAGGCAGAGAGTTACATTGATCCGTGACAGTGGCAACAGTACCGAACACACTCAGGTTCCGCTTTACTGGCTACACTCCGTTACCGGTACCTTTCATTGGATCCTTATGACGAATACATGCACAACTGAACATTGTCAATCCAGCCATCGTAGCCAGCTACCGTAGAGTTCATCGATCAGTGACAGTGGCAACAGTACCGAACACACTCAGGTTCGACTTTGCTCGCTGCACTCGGTAACCTCGCATTGGATCCTTATGACGAATACATGCACAACCGAACATTATGAATCCAGCCATTGTAGCCAGCAGCAGTATAGCTACATCCACGACAGTGGCAACAGTACCGAAAGTTCGGCTTTGCTCGCTACGGTTACCGGTACCTTGTATTGGATCCTTATGATGAATACATGCACAACCGAATATTGTCAATCCAGCCATTGTAGCCAGTTACCGTAGAGTTATATCAATCGGTGACAGTGGCAACAGTACCGAACACACTCAGGTTCCGCTTTACTGGCTACACTCCGTTACCGGTACCTCACATTGGATCCTTATATGACGAATACACGCACAACCGATCAGACTGTCGGTAGGGCTTGAGTTAACAGTCTCCTCTGTAGTGGTAGCCTCTCCTCTGCTTGTTCTCCGGAGCGATCGATCGTTCGTTCGAAAAAGACTCAACAATGGTAATTTCTCGGCAGTCAACAGTGCAGCAGAGAAAACAATAAATAGATATGAGTTTTGTTTTCTGTGCTCAACAGCAGACGACCGGAGACTTACCCTTGTTTTCCAAATTGCACCAACTTGGCTGTCATGGGCCTAGAACTGACTGCCATCCCATGGTCCATAGGATTCAATGAGGGATGGCTTTCGAATCTACACCGGAGAAGGTCAGCTTGAGTGAGGCTTGATAATAGAGATAATAGAGGTGCAAACGATCGACTCGAATAATTAAAACAACTCACCTGTTGACGGCCGAGCTCGGAATTCTCTCCTGTTTACCATAGGAATTGAATGAGGGAGAGAAGTCAGTGCTGTACCTTCAATTAACACTCTTGGTAATAGGCTTACCTCATTGCGATCCATTCGATTGATGGTTCCAACACCATTCTTGTCGGCGAAGCTTGGATTTATCTCCTGTTTGCCATAGCAATTCAATGAGGGAGAGAAGTCAGTGCTGCACCTTCAACAATGGATTTGGCTGGACCTGTACCGGTACGTGCGCATGCGATGAGTTAGTTTAACCTTAACCTTAGTAACTTCAACGGTCATTTTTTCCACGAATTGATCTATTTTTATCGAACGAGAACATGTTACTTATGGATACACACGACCGTTGATTCTGCAACTGAAGTGCGGCTACTCTATTTCACACAGTAAACGCCGGCAAATCGGTTCCAGGACCTCTGTGGAAACTCGAGTCGTGCAACCGATCGTCTCCTAAAACCTTTTGATCATCTCCTATTTAATGGATTTCGTCTCCTAAAAATAGGAGACGAAACGGATCGTCTCTTAAATCTTTCGTCTCCTCTTAAATCGTCTCCTATTTCAACGGATCGTCTCCTATTCTCAACGGATCGTCTCCTAAGTGCACCATGTAAACTGTATGGTATCGTCTCCTAAATCTTTCGGATCGTCTCCTATTTCGAAACGATCGTCTCCTAAATGGAACGTCTCGTAATGAATCGTCTCCTAAATATAGGAGACGAAAGCTATCGTCTCTTAAATCCTTTCGATCGTCTCCTAAGCCTTGGTGTATCGTCTCCTAAGTAATTTGCCACGAATGACGTTCCCACAGAGGTTCAGAGTGAAACTGAGGGGGTAACCAAAAGGAGCGTAGTCTCAGGAGACGTAATAGGAAATAGGAAATACCAAAAAAGGGGTAGGGGGATGAGCAAACTTGCCCATGGCTCTGTGTTGAATTTGTTAGAGCGTTTTTGTAAAAATTGTGTGCGCTAAGCCAATCTTTCACTTTGGCTGTTTTTCTCTATTGGATTTGATTGGATTGCATTGGATTAGATTGGATTAGATTGGATTGCATTGAATTACAGTTTACTATACAAATAACAGTACTATTTGGAATCTAATTCAATCCAATTCAATGCAATCCAATCCAATGCAATCCAATTAAATGTATCTTCCGGCAAAAATACGAATGTCGTCTTTTTAACTGATTTTGGCGAGTCACACTCCATTACAATTCAGGGCTATTGCAAGATTTGCCCATCCCCTAGAGGGCTCAGGCAGATAGACTGCCGAGGTAATGGGGGTCCAGTTTTGCAGGCACATTTCTACCGAAGCAATCACACCAGAAGACAACACACCGTACACTGCGGCCCTCCGCTTCAATCAACTGCGTTTGTGGTTCCACCTTTTACTCGACACAGCAATCCTAGGGATTTCAGAGAGGAAGTCGGTGCTGGCTGACAGAGCAATGAACCTCCTTTTGGAACGCTGGGTAGATCGTATGTGCCTCTATATTTCCAAAGAAGCGACCAAACACCAAACGCTCTCTGCTGGGGAGTCATCTTCTGCGTGGGAGCATCGTGAGTCTCAGGAAGTACCTTTCGCGTCAATTTTGTTGGTGCAGCCCTCTAGCTAGGTCTTTCCTACGGTACCATACCATACTGGTGTCTGGATTCAGCAAGCAATATGGTCATGGCGGTGGCACAGCCAGCAGTTGATCCTACCTCGATAATGCTACCCCTACAATAAGAATCGTGCGTTCTACATGTACCGACATATCTTACCGTAGTTCCTCGCTCCTTTTTCGGACGTCAAATCGAGCGCAATATCTTTTATCCCTAGCCATCTAGACCGCACAAGATATATAGAAGCATCAACTGTGAAAGCCAAACGAGGCGTTTGTCAGCCTCTACCACCGTAAGCCATGAATCGAATCGGCATGTCCACCACCGGATCGAGTACAAGATTCGAACTTGTATACCGATACAATTAGAACTCTTTGAGGCGATGCCATGGCAGCCAGGTTGGTTTTGGCCTGACAACCCACCCATGATTAGTGCCATGATTCCGCTATAGAGTTGGCTTTTTATCCACATAGCGCAGGTTCTGTTCGGCTAAAGGAGGCAAGTGTCGCTCAAGGATGCTATCTTGGCACAGGCGAGGCTGGAAGGTCTGGGAGCGCAACTATTGAGGAGCAAGCAAAATTGAGAGGCAAGCCAGCAAATAGAATTGCACAGAACAGCATCGAACGAGGTTTCCGTACAATATGAAAGCGAATCACAGGAACATTGTAGTAGTTGGGTGCATATATGTTCACGACGGCAGGTTGTAGCTGTGCAGTGCAGTTCCTTCTTGTTGACCGTGATAGTGAAGCTATCATAAGCTGATGATACACTGTGCGGTGGTGGTTGCAGGTCGTGTGTTGTGTAGTTTCTTCTCCATCCATAATACCTGTCAGCACTGCCATGCCATGGTGTCCTTGCTGTAGCTGTCGTACAGTAGTCGCGAGTGCACCCAGGGCTGTCGTCAACCACACCAGAACCGTTTTCCACGGCGTGTTCCTCGGAACACTTTTAGCAGCCGTCCATCCACCATGCCGAAAAAACAACCATAGCTAGCGCTATCCTGAGGCTCCAGCCACAGCCATCGTATGGAACGGAAGAAAAACACAATCTCCATAGCAATTCGCCCCGCCTATCTTCTATCATCCACCTCGCCGATGGAGTGAAAGTTTTCCCTGCCGCACGTATGGATTTGCTTTGCTTGTTGGGTTGTTGCTTGTTTTATCACCAGCACCAAAAGAGGCGAAGCATGCTCAGATACGTTTTCGCCTCTCCTCAAGCGTCTTGTATTGTAATCAGTTGACGAGGGGTAGACAGTCGGAAATACTGGCCCAAGGCATCTACCTAGACTACTCCAAACCCCCGTTTAATTGGATCAGGCGTTACCGGTACAGATCGAGATGTAGACGGCGTCCTCCATGCTTCGTTTGGCGCCATTGCTGAGCTGTGTGGCACCAAAATCGGAACTTTTGAACTGTTGGGTGGTGGCCGACTGCTGAATACCGTAGACTAATCCAATAATCCGAAAGACCCCACTGGACATATAAAAGTCCCTCGAACTCAGGTCGTGTTCTTTGCTATTTATGGTTGAGGACCCGAATGGATCGAAAAAGAAGGGCACCGTCATGTTTCTCAAAATCAAGCAAGTCATTGAATCGGTCAGGTCATTGCACTGGTCATAGATCTTAGCGCTTCAAACTCGTGCCGGCAAAACCGGCACAAAAGTGTTCAGAACTTCGAGCCCCCTCACAAGGGGATGTTCTCTCACTATCAGATACTCGCTGTTCCAACAACAAAGGTCGAGCAAACCAACTAAAAACAACCACAAGTAGTAAAAACAAGCACAAGTAGTAGAAATCAAAATGCCCCGCACTTCCTCTTCTTCTATTAAAAACAGCAAACTGTCTTCTTCCTCGCATCACTCCAAAAGTGGTCCCGCGATGGTTTCTACCAAAATGATGGATTTGAAGATTATCGTGCAGAAGGGAAAAGACTTGGCGGCCAAAGACTCGAATTTCTTGGGCTTGGCGACATCGTCGGATCCGTACGCCGAAGTCCGCTTCATGCCCGAAGGCAAATGCAATGTCGGCCATCCGTCGGTACACTTTTTGGGCAAGACAGAAATCTGCAAACAGACGTTGAATCCCGTGTGGAAGGATCAACAAGTCTTTTCCGCCAAGTTACCCTTATCCCAAATCGACAATCAAAAAGCCATGTTCCACTTAACCCTAATGGACTTTGACGAAGAAACCAAAGACGACAGCATGGGAGTCGTTTGTGTTCCTCTCGACCTGCAAAGCAAAATCGTCAAAGACAAGTGGTACAACGTCCAAGCGGTTCATGGAGAAGCGGCACAAGGACAACTCCAGTGCACGGTCAAATGGACGGAATCCATGGAAGACATGCCCGCAGACTTTGACAAACCGAAAGAGCATTGCTACGATATTCAGCTCCAAGTCATTAAAGCCCAAGGATTGGCCATGAAGGATTCCTTTTTGGGCATTAAAACCAGCAGCGATCCCTACGCCATTGTTCGTCTCTATACTGGCAAATCTAAGGTACGACCCAAAATTTTGGGACAAACCGAGTACATGACACAAACCATCAATCCAACCTGGAACGAAACCTTTTCCATTCGGATTCCCATTGACGATATTGCTACGCAAACTGCAAAATTGGAATTGACACTCATGGATTACGACGACAAGAACGAAGACGATCTCATGGGCGTCGTGACGCTGCCACTTCAATCGTTGCTGCAGAAAATCAAACCCAACAATCCAAACTCCAGTCTGCCCAAGGAATGGTATCACGTTCCCGCCGATTCCTCCAACGATGGAGAACAAGCCACGGGAAAAGTACAGTGCAGTATCACGGCATCCCTCTTGGTGGCGCAGGCGAGTTGATTTTTTAATAAAAATCAAGCGAGTGAAAGCAGTTGGTAGGAAAATACGAACAAGATGGAAAGGACAACAATAACAAACAAACAAACAAACAAACGAAGCACAATGGCAACGGCATCGCACAAATTTTTTGGCACAAGGGTTTATGGCACAACGAGGAGTGCAGAGGATTTATGGCGCTGGGTGCATGGCATTCTACGCTGGTGGCTTTCTACAAAATGCATGCATGCATGGATAAACAACAATATTAGTTAGTACATGTATGACAATTTTAGAAAAGATGGCAGTACGAAGCATCTGGAAGTGGAAGGAGCTCATTCGATTCAATTCAATTCGAACTTAGGGTAGCTAGCTGTACTCCTGCATCTCCACATCAACCACTGTGCTGTGAGACAGCTTCCTGCTTTGTCCTTGGGCATCACCCTTTCTCAAAAAGAGCTTCCATGGACCATTTTCAGTACCAGTCAACTGCTCCAACAGAAGCATAACAACCTGGATGCAAAATGCCAGAAATGTATGTGTCATCGATTGTGAGTCCTTTCATGTCCACGTAGTGAGCCATGACATGGGCACTGTCCACAATAGTACAGCCATGGAAATGAAGTTTGCCATACTCATACAGGGTGCTGCCAAAGTACCAGAGTTCCATGAATGCCGGTCCTGGCAGGCGCTGTCAGCCCTTCACGAACAAACCAATCAGCTTGGCACAATTTTGATGTCCAACGTCAAATATGTTAGCAATAACATGATGAAGTTTGCCGAGATGAGAGCAAAGGGGCAGCTACCCACCACCGAGACTGCATGGAGGAAACTGTTCCATACAGAGATGAAAACTGCAGCCAAAGAATTGTTTGGGGGCCTCTTTGCATACAGCCATGTGGTTCATTTGGCAGCATCCCTTGGGTTGTACCCTCCTGAATTCAGACATTATGCCACTTACTCCCATCCACCTCCAATCACAAAAAAGGAACATTCCCGTAGTGGTCGACAACTACCTGAAGAATGGATCGTTGGCTAACGGGGAAAACAAATCAACGAGATCTGCCATCGTTCTAAGTGCCTGCTGCGCTTATGAAAAAGAGAGACGGGGAATCCCTAGCTATACTGAGAACACTGCAGAGAACATCAGCTGCGAAGGTCAGAGGAAAATGGCGGTCCTGGACCAATTCCACCCGAATCAGGCTGTGAACAGATATGAGTGGGATGAAGGGAAAGGAAAGCTTGAATGGGTGTCCATAACTCCAGTCAAGAAAGCAGGAGCTGATCCAAGTGCTCCCATTGAGGAACAGATAGATTTCGTTCGAAGACCAATGCACAACCCATTTTTGGAAAGCCGGTTGATCCGATCGTATATTCAGGACCCAGAGGGCAGGAGACTTCCTTCTACAGCCAGAAGGCGAGACAAGATGAGTTCATTGATATAGGCGTTTCCACAGTCAAGTCCAAGAAGACAGTGAACGGTACACCCACCTAACTATCCCCAAGTACAGAGTTGACAAGTGGGATGCAGACTTGATGAAAGAGATCAAACTTGACCAGCTATGCACGCACCACGGTGAAAACACCTACCAGGAAGTCATGGACCGACACAACAGCAATCAGAGACTTGCAGATCTTGTTAGGGAAGAAATGGTCTTGAGGAACAGTGGTAGGCGCAACCCCGGTCTGGGCCAGAGGTCCAGGAAGAAGGGTCGAAAGGTAACATTTGAACCGTTCGGAGGTCGTGGAGTAGCAACTGGACCCAGTGGCCATATGCTCGTGGACGTTAATGGTGGCTCCGACGCTGCAATTGTTGGGGAATGACGTGATGGGTCCATCGCAACTGCATATTTGGAGACTACGCTACCCAACAAGGAAACTGCCAATTTGGAGACTGCATCGCTGAAGAAGAAAATGCGTGAAACCATGACAGTGACAGTTCCAGGAATTCCTCTGTCGCCCACCACAAGAAACAGGTTTGCTGCAGCATCCAAGTTTCATCCTCCATGTGCGGAAAGACAAGGTAACGAAGCAGTCAATACGTTTGTTGATTTCAACATGATGTCAGTTGTTTGGGGAGTACAGCATCAAAGACCAAAGACAAGGGTCCACTTGTTCCAGAAAGCGTCAGGACTAGAATATACATACCTTCCTTTGACATTGAGTGACGGGGACACCGGAGGGTGGATGGACTGCAGGATTGCTGAAACAAGTCTGAACATTAAATACAGGACATTCCCACCAGACACAGAACTGGAAAAGACAGTCCTCCTGCACGATTTCCTTGGTTACAGGACCCAAAAGCAGCTCGACAGTGTTGAGATCTTTCCAGGTGACTTTGACCTCTATAGCAAAGCCCATGCATGCCTGAGCAATTCCCGGTCAAGCTCTGAAAAATAAGGATCGGTTGTATACCCAAAATCAAATCCTTAGATAAGTTCCCTACTCTAATCCCCCCTTCCAGGCTGTAACAGTAAAGAGCAGAAGGAGCATGGGTCAGCAAAACCTTTGTACAGTGGAGACCTTCCATCAGTTGAGTAGGGAGAAGCTTTACCGAAGCTACCTGGATTTCCTACCACAGACAGCTTTCAGCCTAGTGGGAGAGTGCAGGGATCTAATGCAAAGAAAAAAACTCCCTTTGGCACTTTGCGTCGGCCACTGCCTCTTGCGACTTCATCCTTCTCACTATCCTGGCAACATGTGGATTGGGGAGGACTTACAAGTCCTTTGCGAAACAAATTCTTTGGTCTAAGCAGGCAGGCAGCACTTCTTGGCAAAAAAAAGCACAGGATACTGCGGATGAAGTCACAGCTCTTGGTTTCCGAAGAAAGGGTTCCGAGTATGTGTTGTTCTACCTTTTGACTTCTCCCAGTAGAGAGGGTAATGATGACAGCATGAAGGAAAGAGGGTCTCCCCACCTTGCAATCACTTTCCCACAGAACAACAAGGGAACCAAGGCCCCTCATCATTCGCCTGCTGTGAAGCATCTTCACTGGCCCTTGCGTGGCATTGTTTCGCAGCCTTGCAGCAGGTATGCTTGTCCTGTTTCTTCTTGCATGCATGTATTATCATCATAACATAACCTTAGTAGACCAAGACGTTTCCATTCACATTGCATTTCCATGATCCTTTTCCAGCACACTCTACAGGCTTTCTATCTACAGCGGGTTCTTCCAGTGGAAAAGGTATCCTATAGTCACTGTGAGTGATACCATAGGACATGGTACATGTATGTACATACGGCTAAGTCAGTACAAGTCTACACACGCGGTGAATCATGTACACTGGTTTCACTATTTCTTAAAGCTAAAGGTAAGCCCAAAGGGCTTTCGAAGAACAAAGACGCCAAGACCAAGCCGCCGAAAAGGGACATGGTCGCCAAATACGTAAGTGGCGAAGGTGTCACCAACATCGCCTAAAATGTGTCAGCGCGCAACTGGTTGTTGAGGCAAAAGCCCACAGCTGGCACCATGGCGAAGCCACGGTTGGCCCTTCGATCCACGATGATCTGATCGATGATAGTTGTCGGCGTGTCAGACTGGTACACCTGCTGAATCTTCGCGTTGATGGCATGGATGGAGTGCCCAGTGTTGAAAAAGTATGCCTGAATCTTCCACACCTTGAATCTCCTGTAGTACTTCTG